CCCCTTGGTAGTGCCAGCTTCAGACGATGTGTCTAACCCGTAGAATGCCCGACAAATTGTTTTTTACGGGTGGGGGAATCGCTCTTGCAACTCACTCCCCGTTTTCTTTGCTTAATTGTCATTACTGGCTACAAGTCTGACAGATTAGTTAGGTAATTTTCAGGGAGAATGCACAAGTCGTTAAGCAAAGTTTTAGAGAAGATCAGATCGAGTAAAGTAAAGTAAAAAAAAGGAGAGTAGTTCATGCTTCTGTGTATAGATATAGCATTATTTTTAAACACAGTAAAATTCCTTTACCTAATTACAATCATACATTGATTTCTAACTAACTACCAACCAAAATTACAGTTATAAAAGGAAGCCGGAAAACTAAATAATAAAAAGTTGCTTTTAGAGGACGCTTTGTATAAAATTTACTCAAACGTCTATTAAAAACGACGATGACGTCACGAGAAAAATAGTCAACAGAGTTCCCTTGAGATGTACAATATCCTACAGGACTTGCATATGATTTATTTCAAAGAAAGCAAGCACTTAAACTAGCTTTAAAGTTATGGCGAACCTTCGAAGCTTAAGTGCGTATTGTTTTCTATTATGTTTATACATGAGTGTGATTAAGTGGCATTACTTATTTATAAGGGTTTTTCTACTTATGTCAAATCAGATGTTAGTTTTGTCAAGTAATTTGTTTTTGTATACAAATTCATTTTTCAAAAAATCGCCTCCAGCCCATAGGAAATGAATTTATCAATTTCCGAGTTTCTGTTTTGGTTAGCACTATTTTTTTCCATGATGGGATAAAAAATGTCTTTTGCCAAAACTCTGATCGTCTCGAAAAGTTACATTTTAAAAATTAGACAGTTACTGTATTGATTCAGAAGGAGTCTTAAAGAACGCGCCTAAAAAATAAATCGATTTTTTTAAAATGAAGATCAAGAATCCATGCAAATCTTTCCGTGCGCGATTGTAGTTTTCCGTTAACCGATAGATGCCTAGCTCAATCGGGAACAAACGCCTTGACTAGATGAGTAATGCCGCCGGGACTGATTTCCTGTAGTATTCCTGCACATTATTCGCATCAGTTGACGGCGGAAGTCGAGCCTAATCATCGAGTATATCACTGGATTTGCAGATGAATTTATAATAGTGCAAACTACGACGGCGAAAAACAAGTTGTTGTAAAATTTTTGGCTGGCAATAGCTGGCCAAGATACAACACACAAGCGAAGAACAGCAAGGGGAAGCATGAACAAAGTAAACACCACAACAACTGGAGTTAAAATTCTCTTAGCGCGTATGTTTTGCACGAGACGAATAGCGTGCTTTCTACTTGTGATGGCGCTGCAGTCATTGAGATTCGCTGCTTCGTTTTCTTTTTCATCGCTTTTCATGGTCTTAATAAATTTACTGCTTTCATTAAGCTTTAGTGATATAGCTAGGAATGTCCAAGATATAACAACAAGTGGAAGTATGTACGACAGCAAAGTGAGACAAGCGACGTAAACTCGCGCTAACACAAGGTCCTTATCCCAAGCAGGCCACACTGGGCCACAGAATGTTCCTCCGCCGGGCACCTTTTGGTAATCAACAATAAAATACAGTGGAAAAGCAAACATCACAAACGACACCATCCATGTACAAGTAGCAACGATCCCAGCTCTCTTTAAGGAAGCCCGCTTCTTCGCATCGTGTAATTTTGGATTTCTGGCCGCTATTTTCCGATATCGCTCTATAGCAGTAATTGCTATAAACCACACGGAAGCACCGTGGAATATCTCGGTAAAAGGTTGAAGATAAAGGCAAACAAACTTGCCAAAAGGCCAGCCAAAGGGAGCTCTCTCCCGTGCAGCCCCCATTGGAAATGTAAACAGCAAATAGCCCAGATCCGCTATCGCCAAGTTTATCAAAAAGAAGTCAGTAATACGAGTTTTCTTTCCCCTGAGTTTTGTTAAGATTACAATCACTAGAAGGTTGCCGATTACTCCGAACAGAGCACACGTGGTATAAATTGATAGTTTTGCCGCTTCAACGGGTACAGAGTCCTCTGCCAAGTTAGCGCTGCTCGTTGTCTCAGAAACGAGTAAAGTTGAAGAAATCTCCAAGGAGTCATTGCTTGGACGGCAAGTTGAGAGATTTTTGATTTCGTTTTTACAGAGAGCCATCGTGAAAATGACTTCTATTTTATAGTGGCTTGTATATTGTGGTGAAGCGAAGACAAAAGAGTTCACGAAGCCAACTTTCCGGGAAAATCCGACGTAATCCCGCAACCAGCCTCCTGCAGCTTAATGGCGAGGTATTACCTTCAATGCTTTTGACAGATGTTCCAGTTTCAAACTACGTTTTTCAAGATGCTCTCCATTTTCGCTACATCTGCTGCGAAATGATTCGAAACTTAATTTGAAATCTTTTGTTTAAGTCCACCATCAAGGCGCCATGACGTCACGTGCAAACTCAAAATTTGAATAACTCAGTACTTTCTGGCATTGTCATTAATTTGAAGAATTGAGAGTTTTGTTGCGCAGTTACCACGGCATGTTATGAGCCAGTAGATCGATGTCGCTGTCTCCATCGATGTCATTTTGCGCGAATTATATACTGCTCAGCCTTTGAACTGAATTTACATGACGTTTATACCATGCTGGGTCCAGGTGTATTAGGACGTTTGTCGGCGTGTCGCAAGAATGATGGCTTGAGAAAGTTATCTATTCAAAGCCAGTGAGAAAACTTTCACGATTTATAGCCATGTGAAGCAGGCACATTGACCTCCTTAGATTTGTAGACCGCAAGCAACGTCTCTAGAACTGGAGGTGTTAGGAGAACTTGCACGTATGGCTTAGAAAGTTGTCCGAATCATGGACACTAAAATTTTAATAGGCAGAGTTATTTCACTGATTAACGATCGAGTAAACATGCCGCCTAGTGATGACAATCGCAAATCGACTCGTCATATCAGTATCGAAAACGTATACACTTTCCATAGTGGTGGCATTTGAAAATGGAGCCTTATCCTAATTAGCGTGAACAACGAGGCTTTCAATCTCGTTCCTAGAGCCTTCGTTACCCTTATCCAGCGGAACGGGAAAACTAACTTCGTTTTCCCGTTCCGCTGGACAAGGGTAACGAGGCTCTGGGAACGAGATTGCGAGGCGAGGGTTGCTGGCGTCATTTGCGCATGAGTAAATGACCGGTTGTGGTAATTTCACCTAGCATATCAACGTTTTCGAGCGTTTTAGTGTGGACGGGAAAAGCACTGCGAAAACGGTAGTGTGAACGGGGAACGGTTTCGGCGAAAACGGACCAGTGAGGAAGCGGACTCGGGGAAGCACTTTTAGAAATTAAGTTTTCAAAAGCTTCGCGTGCCAGCTGGCTCTTGCCACGCAAAGAGCCTGCTCGCAGACTATCAAAAACTCACCCTTCGGGGTTTCCATAGCGAAATTCCACACAAATGAAGTAAAAATATTCCAGTTGAACTGCGCTTTGAAAATTCTTTCAAAAGCTAAGTCGTTCGATGGGATATGCAAGGAGATGTTCGAGAGAAGAACTTTTAAACGTCTTAAGTGGAATGGTAAGGGGGCCTAAAATATGGCGATGTTCATGAAAAATTCAATTTCTTGGAAATACAAGACTTTTTAGCCTTGCATTTCCAAGAAATCCTCAAGGGTCTTAAAAGAGCCTTGAGGACTTGTCAAAAACGTTTTGAAACGATCTTGCCGAATTTTCTTCTAGATGAGTGTGAAATTTAAGGAAAGTACACAGAGGTATAAGTTTTTTCACGTGGCAACAGCCATAGCAACGACTGTTTACCATAAGAACGTGACCAAAAATGTAGATTAGTTTCAACATATATGAACGAAACTATTTAGAAAAACTTTTAAAGCATGCACAACTCGATAGGTATAATTAGTTCTGAAAATCTTTGCCTCGAATTGCCATCACAGGCTCATTAATTTCCCTTATGAAAAGGAATGTTTCCCACAACTGCGGTAACGTTTTACAAAATAGACCAACCATTGCACCCCTCCCCCGAGATCCAATCTGCACCC